TTCATCATCTTCAGGCTTCTGTCTTCGGCTCTTGCTTCTCAGAGTGAGTGTCTCAGAGTGCTTCTCTTCGGCTCTTGCTTCACTCTGAGAAGCAAGAGCCGAAGACAGAAGCCTGAAGATGATGAATGAGACTTCATCGAACGTTGCCTAGATACTTCGAATCTTACGCGGGAGAAAACCCGAACAAGCAAAGATCTATATATTTATATTTGCCACCAAAAAAGGCACCAAATCTTATTTTCCCGGGTGGGGGGAGGGGGATGTCATCCACTGACTCGCCCCATTTGCAGGTGTTGCCCCCAGCCTCCTTTTCGCTATCAGAGGCCTTCAGGAACGTCTTCAGCTTTGTATAGTTGCAACCAGGCCTCGCACACCTCAGCCCATTTCTTCTGCAGCCGGTACGGCTTTCCTGAAGGCCTCTGTAGCCGATAACAGAGCTCCGGATTATCCTACCCTTGCACCCTGGAATGGGCTGGGATCTTAGGGCTTAGTGGGATCTTAGGGCTTATATTGGGCGCACGTGTAAAAATCAAGCTAGGATTTTCAGGGTAGGTCATATTTGGGGGGAAACACAGTAACGGCGGGGGTGTGAATGTTTGGCTGATCCAAACATTCAGTACGATAGTATGATTCATAAATACAATAGATATAACACCACACTTCTGAACAGTGTCTTTTTTTTTTAAGAAAAGTATTTTTAAAACCCGTTAAAACGTTTACCATATAAGCTCTCTCTTCTGTGGATAGTTTTTACGACCTCCCGAATTTGAGAGTTTTCGGGATTATCTTAGAAGTGTTTTAGAAAAACTCTTTGACCACGGGATCCGTGACAGACTCCTTGCCTTTCAGAGATGGACGTGACTGGGGGGATCACATTAGAAAATTTGAAGGCCATCCCGATCGCTCCTGGCCGGGGAACGATGATGGGGGCCCACCAGGACGTGAACATGAGCGATGGCGAGGTAATTCTTCTTTTTTTTTTTCCCCTTCACAGTGGTAATTTTCCTTTGAAAAAGCTCCTTCCGTTGTTTAGGCTTTGGGGATAGGACGTGGGCAAGTTTGAGCCTTCCAGGATCCTATTCTGTGCAGAACAGAAAAGCCAGGAAAAGAAATATCTATATATATATGCTTATCTGTTTACTTATCCTCTAAGCCTTTCTCCATTCTCCAGATTACAGGTAGTCCTCGACTTACGGCCACAATTGAGCCCAAAATTTCCATTGCTGAGCAAGACAGTTAAGTGAGTTTTGCCCCATTTGGTGACCTCTCTTAACAGCTGTTAAGCGAATCACTGTAGTTTTTTAAGTTACCAACACAGTTGTGAAGTGAATCTGTTTTCCCCCGTAGACTTTGCTTAGAAGGTCGCAAAAGGGGACCACGAAACCCCCGGGACACTGCAGTTGTCATAAATACATGCCAGTCGTCAAGTGTCCAGATTTTGATCACGGGGATGCTGCAAGTGTGAAAAGCGGTCATAAGTCACATTTTGCAGTTCTGTTGTAACTTCAAACAGTTATGAAAGGAAACATAAGTCGAGGACGGCCTGTACAGTCTCCTAAAGCAGGTCACATCATTTCCCCAATTTAAAAAAAAAGGACTTTACTTCATGCTTAACTGTTTTTGAAACGAATCGAGTGACAAAGGATGATTTGAAGAAATGAAGGATCGTTTTTTTTCAATGTTGAATTGACCAACCTTCCCTTTATTGTGGGTGTCCTTGTTTGAATAAGTGCTTAGTGTCTGACTAATGTCCAGATATTCCACCCTTTCAGCTCTCCTGTCCCAGGGCAACCCAGTCTTTTGTGGAGGCACTGCAAGATCCTTATGTCCAGACGTTCTTTCTCTAGTTAATGTTAGGGCTCTTACATTTGGGCAGAAGGAGACTGTCAGGATTCCAGCGGTTACCCCCATTTAAATCACGAGTCTCGAGCCAAACTTCCAAAACTTAAAAAGGATTTATTGGGAGTTAACATGTCTGGCACTGCCTGGGTGTAGCCGACTCTGAAGCACGTCATTCATTGTCACCCTTGACCCTGGTTTTCCTCCCCACCCCTTTGGGTGTATCCTAATTCATATCCTCCAATGGGACACCTCCATAGCCCAGAGTCATCAGTCATCCTCACCAGTTAGAATTTTGCACAGCAGAAACTTCAGTCACCTAGTTACTATCTTTGAAAACTATGTATAGAAAGCAGTTTTGGTTTGCACTGCTCCCCCCTCCCTTTCTGTTGGCCACTCTAAAAAGACCATAGAAATATTTTAGGAGTTGACAAGAGAGATCAATTGGTGCTGCAGCTCAAACAGCTTTTGGGAGTGGCATTTATAATTAGACGGGATCCTATGAAGGAAGCTCTGTTCCCAAAATTGGATAGGTTCAGAAATTAACAGAAGGGAATATCCGTAGCTTGTAGTTCAAGATTGATCTGTGGACTCTGTGGTTTCCTCTGATCTTGGTTGTTTTGTTGCAGGCGTTTCAAGACCCAACTATATAACGTCAGTGCTAGAAAAGAGTGTGGGGTTTCCTCTGTGTTTATGTCAAGGGACTGGCCACTGTCAACTCAGACAAGCAACCCAGTAGTAAGCAGCAACCTAATTTAAGGAACTATCAAGAGGAAAACAATACCGACAGGGCAAGCCACTGTATACAGGTAGTCCTCAACTTACAGCTACAATTGAGCCCAAAATTCGTTGGGAGTTTTACCCCCCTTTTACAACTTTTTTTTTTTTTTTGCCACCGTTGTTAAGTGAATCCCTGCAATTGTTAAAATAGTAACGTGATTGTTAAGTGAATCTGGTCTCTCCATGGACTTTGCTTGCCGGAAGGTCACAAAGGGGATCGCACGATTCCGGGACACTGCAGTCGTCATAACTATGAACCCTTTCCCGAGCATCCGAATGTAAATCCCACGGCCATGGGGATGCCGCCGACAGCCGTAAGTGTGAAAAAAGGGTCGTAGGTCACTTTTTTCCAGTGCCGGTGTCGTTTCGAAGGGTCCACCTAAGTGAACTGTTGTAAGTTGAGGACTACCCGTACAAACAAGAGACCAAATCCCACTTGCCATCCAGCACCGATGATGCTACCTGGCTGGGTCATGAAATGTCTGCAAGAAAACAACCCAGGGCAGAGAGCACCAAGGACCCCACCACTTTCAGCACTGCTCTCCTTCCAAGAGGTTTCCTTTTCCTAATTTTGTGCAAATCTAGAGTGGAGGAAATCAAAGCAATTCAGACCGGCAAATGTGAATTAATCCTGTCTTTTCTAGGAGGGGGCAGACCACGGCGTGGCCACCTAATGCCGCGAGGTGGAATGTCTGGGTAAGACGCCTTCAGCCTTCTGAATTCAGAGTAAGGTTAACCTTTTCTCATTATGCATTTGACCTAAAATAGCAAACCTAGATGGTTTTTGTACACCTCTTTGTCTCCCCCCCTGTTTCCCAAGCTGGCCCTTCCTCTCCCAAGACAGCATTTGGAGGGTTTTTTTTAATGTTGCATTATCTAGCTGCGCTCTTAAGATCACCCTAAGGCAGGGGGCTCCAACCTTAGCCACTTTTAAGATTTGTGGACTGAGCTGGCTGAGGAATTCTGGGAGTTGGAAGTCCACAAGTCTTAAAATTGGCTAAGGTTAGAGACCTCTGCCCCAAGGGATCTGTTTCTATGTTTGAGATCCACGTTCTCCTCCCAATTAGACCGTAAGAGTCCTGGGTTACTTCATTTTCTTCTTGTCTTTCCTTGGAGCGAAGGGAAAGGCCGTCTAGCTCAGCTTTCCTCAACTTTGGGACCAAACGGCGTTCAACTCCCAGCATTCCCCGAGCAAGGATGGAATTCTGGGACTTGGAAGTCCTGCACATCCCAGCTGGGGAACTCTAGGCGTTGACATCCACTCGTCTCATCTGGGGAATTCTGAGCATCCAAGCCCGCCCATTCTGGCGGTGGAATTCTGGGAATTAAAAGTCCACCCGTCCTGGCTAGGTTAGGAAACTGGTGCAGCCACGTCCATCTGGCCTGAACAATTTCGGTGCTGCCGCCAGGGTAATGATTCCTTTGCAAAAGAGGAAGCAACCTGGAGCACAGCTGGGGATGGGAACGGGGCTCCTGGTCTTCCTTTCTCATGATGGGCTCTCTCTCTTTCTCTCTCTCTCTCTCCCAGACAAGGAGGATTCCTCCCAGGTGGCCCACCGGAACCGAATGCCCCGGGTGAGGGCTTTGCAGGACAAGAGCGGGCAAGCCGGCCCAGCGACCCCCGGTTCAGCTGTCACTATTGAATGTTTTTATTGTTTTTAACTGTACAAAATGGCAACCAAGACGAGGGACAAAGATACTCGACACTACGACTCAACGTACCCACTGACTGTGACTCTTAAGTTAACCTTCGTTGTTTTCACTTCCTAGCTCAGTATGTGAAGCCATTCATATTTTTTATTTTATTTTTATTTTGGTAACGTGTTTCTGTAGGTGCTGCCGCACACGCTCATCCTTTCAAAAGAAAACGTGTTTCTTTTACGAGGCATTCCATTTTCTATAAATAAAAGAGGGGAAAAAAAAGTACAATTTACAATTTACCCAGATAAATTGGTGTTCTGAAGGCTCTTCAGGGAGCGGCCTGCCTAAATCGCCTCCATGGGGGGAAAAGGGGGATTTGTATATAGGCCTTGGCCACTTTTTAAGACCTGTGGACTTCCATTCCAAGAATTCTGGGAGTTGAAATCCACCAGTCTTAAAAGTCACCCAAGTTAGACACCACCTGGCGGTAGAGCAAGTTACTGCTCAAGTAGCTTTGAAGCTCACATTTCTATATTGCTTTGGCAACGTACTAAGGCTGTCAACCTCCTGGCCCAAAGGGCATCACATGCTGGCCACACCCATGCCCAGTTTAGCAAAGGGGGGCGGAAAGTCCCGCTACGTCATGTAACGCCACCATGACGAGGTGAGTTTGACACCCCTGAGCATAGCTGATGAATGCAAAGATCTCTCGCTCTGCAGATTGAACCCAAAATACGCTCTTGACGTGCCTGGCTAATTTTTTTTTTTTCCTTCTCTGTGCAGCAGAAGTTTTTTCACATTCGGAAAATGCCTCACTTGATCCCACTGGCATGTCCGATAACATGCAAAAGTATTTAAACCAAAAAAATAAAAATAAAAAAGATTTTTCACGAATGAAGGTGAACATGCAAGCGTCCCGGGATAATTTTGCAGGCTCCAATCTGGGTTTGGTGAGCCGGACCAGAGGTTTTGCCTTCTGAGCTTTCAGACTTGTGCTGGAGATCATCCTCAGGGAACAGCTTTTGTGCTTTCGGCTTTTCTGTGTGTGGTATTTGTATGGTGCCTGTTGTGTGTGGCTTTTCGGTTGTTGATTGCGGGGTTGATGGCTAGCTATTAAGTCTTCGTCTGTTTCCTTGTTCTGCCAAGCCCTCGCCTCCTAAGTACAGATACAGGTAGTCCTTGAGTTACGACCACAATTGAGGCCCGAAATCTTATGCTGCTAACTGAAGCATCTGTTTAAGTGAGTTTCGCCCCATTTTACGACTTTCCTTGCCACAGTTGTTAAGTGACACGTTGCATTTGTTAGTAACGTGGTTGTTGTGAGGTGTACATAAAAATGAATCAACCGACTATTGATAATCTGATCCATAGGATGCTTTATTAGGGAAAATACTGCAGTACCGGACCGTCCTTCTTAAACCAACCAAGTTTAGGAGTAAAAAGACGCTTCTATTTAGTGAATACAGCTTATATAGGTTTATCAAATCACATGGTTACATAACACTTCCTGTTGTCCGTATATAGAAGTTATGCAATATTTTCATAAGAAAGTTCCAACCTTCCATAGAAAACTCCCAACATCCTCATTATAGTCAGATTTCCTGTTATTCAAACACCAGAAGATAATAAGAAAAGCCTTAATATCTCTTAATGTGATTTATAATGTCAGAGCACCCTAGCACATACCTCTAACTTATGCCAAGTACATAGTTTTGCAACCTTGCATAATTTCTAGCAGAAAACAAACACCTTGCATCAATGTTCTGAGCTTTAAAAGTTCAGACCGCGAACACAAAATGGCTTCAGTTTGGCTCTTTACATTCTCAGGTGTAATAACCCAATTTTCACCTGTAACAGTTGTTAAGGGAATCTGGCTTCCCCGTTGATTTTACTTGTCAGGCGCCTAAGGGGATCACAGGACACTGCAGCCGCTGTAAATATGAACCACTCGCCAAGCGTTTGAATTTTGATCACATTACCATGGGGATGCTGCAACAGTTGTAAGTGAAAAAATGTCATAAGTCACTTTTTCCAGTGGCATTATGAACAGTCACTAAACGAACTGTTGTAAGTCAAGGACTACCAGTAGTCCTTCACTTACGACCACAATTCAGCCCCAAATTCCTGCCGTTAAGTGAAAACTTGTTAAGTGAGTTTTGTCCCGCTTTGCAACTTGCCACAGTTGTTAAGTGAATTGCCGTGTCAGGATTCCAGCAGTTACTCCAATTAAATCACGAGCCTGGAGCCACACTCCCAAAACTAAAAAGGTTTCATTTGGAGTTAACGTTCTATGTCTGGCATTAACCTGGGTGTAGCCAACTCTGAGATACGTAATTCACTGTCACCCTTGACCCTGCTTTCCCCACCACCCCTCTGGGTGTATCATCCAACGAAAAAACGTCCATAGCCAAGAGTCATCAATCATGCTCTCCAATTAGATTTTTGCATGGCAGAAGCTTCAGTCATCTAATCAGTCTTTGAAGAAAATATGAGTGGGATGTATTTTCGATTCCACACTGCCGCCTGCTCTTTGAAATCTCCCCCCGCCCCCTTCTTTCTGTTGTCAACTACAAAATGTTTCATGAGTTGACCTGCTGCAGTGGTTAAGTTAGTAACACGGCTGTTAAGTGAATCTGGTTTCCCCATTGACTTTGCTGGTCAGGAGGTCACAAAAGGGGCTCCCCCCCTGCAGCCGTCCTAAATATGAATCAGTTACCAATAATCTTGAGTTTTGATCACGTGACCACAGGGATGCTGCAGTGGTCAGAAGTGTGAAAAGCGGTCATCGGTCATTCTTTCCAGTGCTTGAACTGAGCCACTAAGCAAACTTTTTTTAAGTCGACTACTACCTACACTTGATAAGCTGGGAGTAAATCGGCACTGCTGTTGATTGATGAATCCAAAAGCTCAGAAGACGAAACCTCTGGCCCCGATGACCGACCCAGATTAGATCCTGCAAAAAGAATTTTCTATCTCTTTTCCCCCCATCTGAGCTGTGGCCCTTGACAGGAGTTGGGCCTGGATTAGGAACCCAGGCCGCGACTTCAGCCTGGCTCCACTGCTGCCACTCACAAAGACCGCTGCACACTGTTCCCCCAATCGCCATTGCTCCTGTGGCCCACCCCTGGGATCTTCCATGTGCCTTCAGGTGTCCCAAAGGTGCTGTTTTTGTTTTTTCAGGAGGCAATTGGACTTCCTGGTTTTTCTTTGAAGACCTCTCGCTTCTCATTCAAGAAGCTTCTTCAGCTCTGACTGGATGGTAGGGAACGGAAGGATTTCTATTCCTTGCAGTCACCTCTGGTCACTTGCATCCTTTTAGAATTGAGGCCACTTGGAGGTTCGCCTGTTTCCTCAGGATCACCTGAGTGGTGCAAATGGATGCGGAGCCTTCTTGGAACTGTTGAAAGGACGGTGTTGTAGACTGGAGATAGGTGATGTCCTATATCCTTCTCCCTCGGTTGAGAGAGGGTTGATCAATTTTGGCATAAATGGCCTCTTTAGGAGAACAAACCCATCCGAGCTAGATTGAGTGGTCCATCTGCATTTCAAAGACAAAAGCCCCTCTTGTGAAGACAACAAAGTCCATCTTTTAGACAGAAAGGACCACTGGTTTGAAAGAGGGGTCAAAGGCCATCTATGTCCAAATTGAACAGCCCTCTCAACAGGAGGAGGGATATGACGTCCTCTACAGTCTACAATACCTTTCCACACCAATTTGTACCACTGAGGACACCGATAAGCCACTAGGTCACCTCAATGACTTAAACAGTGAGCGCCAACCACTAGGCCGGGGACCACTGGTCCACAGAGAATACAAGGCTGTGCCACCCACATGGCCCGTGGGAACACAAGGCTTGTGTCACTTGCATTGTGAACACCACAAGGTAATGAGGGGAGCGGGGAAAGGTCAGAGGGGGGAAACTTGCCCCACGCGCCTCACCTGGCACTGGGCTGCAGCTTTCCGCTTCTGCTTTTGGCTGCACGCAAGGAAAGCAGCCAAAGTCTGTCTTTCTCTCCCACAAACTCCACCAGAAATGAGTCTTTGGGACCCTGCAAGGCGTCCCGGTCCAAGAGGCTGCGCCGGTGCAACAAGTCTCATAAAAACTCATTTTTGGCAGAGTTTGGGGGGAGAGAAAGAAAGACTTCTGCTGCTTTCCTTGCATGAAGCCAGAAGTCAGTCTCTCTCTGTCTCTCCCCCTGAGAACAGAGCTGGAGATGATATTCTGCGATCCCAAATAAAGAACAATTGATCGGTAGGAAAACGGGGTGGGGAATTTTCCCAGGGTCTCTGGCCTGTGAGTTTGGTGGTCTCTGAGGTCCAAAAGGTTGACAACCCCTTATCTAAAAGGAATCAAATGACCAGCTGCCTACAAGGAGTATAAATCCTTCCATTCCCCACCATCCAGTCAGAGTTGAAGAAGCTTCTTGGATGAGAAGCGAAACTTCTTTAAACAAAAACCTGAAACAACACATGATCTGAGGACACAGATAATCTTCCAAGTGGTCTCAATGACTCACTCAAAAGAACGCAAATAACCAGCTGCCTGCAAGGAACACAAATCCTTCCGTTCCCCTCCGTCTAGTCAGAGCTGAAGAAGCTTCTTGGACGAGAAGCAAAACGTCTTCAAAGAAAAAAATTGAGAAAGTCCAGTTGCCTGTTGAAAAAAGCAACTTTGGGACAACCGTGACCTGGATGACTGAGAATCTTCATGGATATTTCCCTTCAGGTGGTGATCCCTCTGTTGAGAGGCCTATGCTGGGTTTCCTTAACGACGGCGTGATTCGCTTAACCACTGCAGGAAATCCACTCAACAGCCATGACCAAAAAAGGTGGTAAAATTGGACGTGACTCGCCACTTAACTGCCTTGTCTGGCAACAAAAATTCTGCTGCTGATTGGTGTCATAAACCGAGGACTACCTGAGCCTGTGTTCATAAGGCGCGGTGTGGCCCAAGGGGCCCCAGTTCCTCTCTTACCCCAAGACTGGCTGCCTCCCACAACGCCCTCCTGAGTATCAGCAGAACAATTTGTTTAGTGATCAAACTTACAACGGCACTGAAAAAAGGGACTTATGTCCGTTTCTCACACTTATGACTATGTTCAAAATTTAAGATGCTTGGCCACTGACCCCTATTTATGACGGTTGCAGCATCTCGGGGTCATGGCATAGCTTTTTACAACCTTCTGACAAGCAAAGTCCATTGGAAAACCGGATTCACCTAATAAGCGTGCAACTCCCTTAGCAACTGCAGTGATTCATTTAACTCCGGCAAG